ATACTTTTTTAAAGGTATGATGACACTTTAAATGTATAAAGGTCAGCAGACAGTCTCATATATATATATCCACAAACAAACATACACAAGTGCAGGCAGGTAGTCCTCAGTGACTTAAGCATGTCAGGACAGCTTTCTGCCATTTCCCTGGATTCTTTCCTCAGCCATGCATGTAGGAACTGGGCTAAAAGCAACATGACCAAGAAAAATGACACTCACTAAGAGAGGAAAGATGGCAAAAATAATATATTTCCTTGCTGCTATCTGTCTTTTTAATTAAAATACTGGCAGTGGTAGCAGTGTTATGTCAGAATTATTGATTCTGAGCCACTGAAAAAGGCTGGACTTTGAGCTTGAAGCTGAAAAATGGGCTCATACCTCACCTCCAATGTAAGCAGGTTACGTGTCTATTTGAAGTCTTTTCATAAAAACCTATCTGGAGATTTGTGTAAGCCTGCCGGGCATGTGTTAATTCTTCCGTAATACAATATAGTATTATACAACATATAAATACAACTAGAGACCGATGAGAAAGCCAGAAAAGTTATTTACAGGAATTAGGAGCACTGTTAAAGTCTGTTTCTGTGCTTCCTAGTGGACGCCCCTCCGTCTCCGTTTCCTCAACTTAAAATGACTACACTCCCGCTTACCTTTAACTGCGATTTGGACACTTTCCCGCACTTCTCCACGTCCAGCGATGTAAACGCGTACCAGATGGATTTGAGGAGTTCTGACTTTAGGTCCATTTTAAGAGAACCGGTTTTGCGCAAAACAACTACATTTCCAAGTGCAGCGCAGCGGCTTTAACGCAGGGACGGGGGAGCAGCGCTGGTGAGAATTGCCAAATAAAATGTGGGGCAGTGCAGAGACTGCTGTGCAAACTGCAAAGACCAAAAAAGTCTGATGTAGGGCAGGCTAAAGAGGCGGAGAGAGTATAGCGATAAGGCTGTATGTTTTTCTTGCTTTACACTTTTATCTACATGAATCTGAACAAACTTAGATGGTAAATTTCAAGACATCCACGCTGCATTTCCAGACAGTGCAGGGTGAACTTTTGGATTTCTCAGAGTTCCATAAGCGAGATCTGTGTTGTTATCACTTTGTGGAAGCTTGCAAAGGATTTAGGGACACACCCATTTGTGCAAAGAGCCTAAAGCTATATTTATTTTAGCTGCTTCAGACTATAAAAAATGGATCACACACATACACATGCAAAATTTTCATAACTGTCAACAACACACTGTATTCTGGTGTAACCTTTTGGGACATATGGTCTGCCAACTGTGAGAAATTACCTTTTTAAATTATTACTGAAGTCTTTTACATATTTTTAGGGATTAAAAATGATTCAGTTATTTATTTTATCAAACTGGGGTGCTTTTAAATAGCAATCCACATACGCTACACCTGGTGCAATTCAAGTTACTGTACATATATAATCTTCTAATGAATTAATGTTGTAATGCTTAATATTCCTAATCAAGTTAATGTGGGCCTACTTTATATTTTCTTTACTTTTCTTCATCTTTGGAGTGTTTTTAGGCTATGTTGATGTGACCACTCAGCTGTTATTTTGTGCCCTTCCAGGTACACATTTGTTTTACTACACTATCAATCCTAAACAGGGATGATTAAATCATCATGATCCAAAATAGGTCTGAGAGAGTTCTGAGTAAAAAGCCACATGTAATTTCATTGAGTTAAGGTGGTGCTTAAATGTCAAGGCTCATCTTTTGTATAGTGTAACTGCTGGTGGGGATGTCGCAACCTCAGGCAGAATAGATTAAACAAAGACAATGCAATCAGGCACAAACCATCCACAAGCCTCGTTAGAGCAAAATCTAGGCTAATCAATAGCATAATTAGGTCATGAAAATGGAAGTCATTGTTCAGAGGCTACAGCCAACAACCTCTCTGTCTCCAAATGTTGATGTATGTAGGTTTTAAGGTAAACTTTGTGATAAATATATGAACATCTACTTCAAATTATTAAGTTAGACTATAGGATGTTCATGATTTTCTGCTTCATAAAATAATCAATGACGTGTAGACTGTTGTGTTTCATCACGCTGAGCAGTGCTTCTGTATCTGTTGTCCCCCTTCAAGGGCAGATGTAATCACTGTTGGTAATCACAGGTGGTAGAAATTAAATGTCATTCAGTTAGCCATAATTTAGAATCGCCTGGTCAAAGGTCTCAGTGAGGACGAACCACTCCCAGCACAAAGAATTTACCACTCTGGCACAGTTGCTGCACATCCCCAAATAAACCTAGACAGGTTTCTAAAGGTCTTTAGAATGCATACAAAGGCTTTACACCTGCCATCTGTTAGGATGAAGGCTACATTCTTCACTTATTTCCACCTTAAGAGGATAAAACTCACATTGCATTCCTGAAAGTACTCTTTGCAAGAATCACACAATGTTTATATATACCTCAAATATGCTTTTACCACTGCTGTACTGTATATTTTCAACATGACATTACAAGAATGCTGTTACTATTTTTTAATAAATTCAAGGGCAGCAGACCTTGACATTGCCATTCCCAGTGTGCAATCAATATCATATCCTGTAATGAGGTAAAGATTTTTTTTGTTTATTGTTGCAGATATAGTTTACAGTTTCAGGTCATGCTTGTTTGCACTGTTGGTAATTATTACAATAAAGTACAGGCAGCATTTTTTGTATAGGGGATAGCTATATGTTGTATATTACAATTACAATAGCAATAAAATGCCCTATCTTTAATAGGAGGCTGGAAGAAAGGCTAATGTGAATCATCTCAGTTCTTGTAAATAGTAATATAATAATAAAACATAGCAGTTCATGAGAAAAACACTGTCACATTTATCAAAAGAATGGTTTACACTTTGGTAAATATTCTTATTCGATTTTTTTCGCCAGTGGAGACTGTGAAGTTGTCATCATGCCATGTTGAATTTTGAGTAAATGCACCATTTTGGGAGCACACACACTCATTATCAATCATAGATACATCTATAAGTTGATTTTAAAAAAGCTAATACTGTCCCAGACAGCTACATACAGTAGCAGATGCTTCAGCTACATCCAAACATCCACTTTAGTGTTCAGATTGAGCACAGAGAGGACAGAAATTGATTCATCTGCAGTATTTGTGTCAAGACCTGAGCAGCAGAGTTGAGATCGGGGTTCAGAGTAATTTTTCAGTCTGTCCCTCTCATTGACAGGATATCTAGGTCTGCTACGAGTTAGCTACAGTCAGTTAAGGTTATCCATTCTGAATTTCCACAGTCGGTAAATTAAAATCTAACAGACGTAAGCAACTTTTTAGCCAAACAAAACAAGAATGTATGCAAGTAAATACAGTGCCTCCTCCCAAAATGACGCCCCTGTCCCAACACTCAACACAGTGTGATGTACCTTCACATTCTGTATAAGTAGCTGAGGAAATGAAACCACTCTCATATGCTAAAAGTGAAGCTGCAGCCAGGAGACTGTAAGCTTAGCCTAGCGTAAGGTCAAGAAACAGCTCACTTTGCCCTGTTCAACAGTAACAAAATCATTCTACCAGCAGCTCTAAACCCCACACTGTATCTTGCCTAAGAATATTTTGTATGATTAAACAAAAAATGAAGTATACCTGTCAACTAGTCAGGCTAGCTGTATCCCCTGCTCTCAGTCTTTATGCTAAGCTAAGCTAATGGACTGCTGATTCTAGCTTCACATTTAGCATCCATACACAAGAGCGAGTTTGATATCGAACAAATGCAGGAAAAATGCAAACACACTCCAGACTTCTGACTGTTTCATGCTAGTAGTATTCTGCACAGCATCTGGCTTCTGTCAGTCTAAATGAGTGATTTAGATGGGTTTTTATCAAATTCAGTGATGTAACATAAACTTGCATTTCAGAACATATAAATTCTATTAACACAGTGTCATCTGGAAGACTTATTTTACAGCAGTCATATTCTTATCAAATCTCTTTAACACAATAAATATTATAACAGCTTGTCAAATGGCATAAAACAGCACAGACATTGTTAAGCTCTTTTCTAAAGCACCATTCTAGCACAGTGTAGTTTTTGTGATGGAAAAACTAAACGATGTGGTCACAAACATCTGCTAAGCACAGCCAGACTAAATCTTATACAGTGGAAAACTGCTGGTGAACATTCCTGTGCATTCAGTGGTGAACTGTACTACATGAGGCAACTTGAGAAAAAAAATCCACTAGGAGAGTAGTTTAAATAATCACTTTGTATTGACATACATTCTATATAATTCATGCCATTATGTAAACATAAATTATACAGCCAAAAAGTCAGAAAGCATTGTTTTGTACTACCATATAAGTACCTACTCTACTATCCAATCTGGCCCCATGAACAACTATTGCCAGACCACCTCTTTTTTTTGTATATTACTGCATCAAATTGACAGAAGATTTAGTCACATGTCGTTTAAAACACTGAATCAAAGAAGTATTTTTAAAATTGCACAGAAGACATAGTTAGCCAAACAAAAAGTGTAAAAGAGTTGCAAAGTGTGAGGAGTTGATGGCTTCTAGTTTGTTAGTTTTTTGCCACTGAATTCACATTTTCTTTAAGTTATGTCCTTAGGATTCCTCAACATAGAAAGAGATGAGCCAATTGAATAATTTACCAATAGATTAAAGTTATGACCATCAGTTTTATTAAATTAAACACAGTCTCTGATATTTTTTTGGATACCTGTGAACCTATGCTGCCATTGCTATAGAGAAAATGCCAGCCAGAGATGCAAATCCGAATGCAGTAAAGTCAGAGTGAAGACAAAACACAATGCTGTAGCTGCTTAATTCATCCAAAATTGCTCTAGACATAGATCTTAGACATAAAGTGAAACTGATTTAAGCTGCTGAGTTTATTATCAGATTTCTACAAAGCCTAATCTTTCCATTAGCAATGCACCCAACAGAATTAAAAGCTCTCCTTATCAACATGACTCTCAGACATTGACTTCTATCTTCTCAAGTTTGACTTTCACCTTTGACTTATTTCCCAGATTAGTGACTTGTACTGATAATTGAAGTGGGAGATTCGTGCACCATCAGAACCTTGGAAGTGCACTAACTGACATTAACACTGCCAAACAATAAATGGGACTTCTACTTGTGGAGCCCTGGGAGCTCAAAAAACAAACAAACAAACAAAAAACTCCTCCAACTTTGCAACTCTATTGCAACTCTATGACTCTTTGAATGCATTCTTCATTACCAGTTGTAATCATCTACAAATTGGTCAATCCGTGGTTTAAATTTTGCCATTAATGTGCCACTATACGACGATGTTGTCTTGGTGCCAGTTTGTTAGCGAGCAGACAAGCTAGGGCAATGCCTCCAATCTGGGTGAAGGCTAATCCCAACACAGTGGCAGCAATGTGGAAGACGTTATCGTTGACCAAACTGAAGACTTTGCGGAAGCAGCCATGTGGATGGATTCCTGCAGCAACCACTCCTTCATTATCATCTGATAGAAGAGGCCTGTTCTTGCAGCCCTTGCGCCTCACACAGCAACTATCCGGCAGGGACACTGAAGTGCCGTTCTCAGTGGGGAAGAAGGTCATATGTTGGATAGCCCAGTCTGAAGTGAGCCAGTCGCGCCAACCCTCAGCTCCACAACACTCCAGGGACCTCTGCAGGCTGTCTAGAGCATCGGCACGGCCTTCATCCTCTGTGTAACCTGCCACCGCTCGCTGTAAACCGCTGCGAAATCCTCCAGCAATGTCTTCACGATAGAAGAGACCAGACAGACCAGCTGCTAAACCAGCTATAAGTGCAGCAAGTTGGAAGAACCCATAAGCCCTTAGCACACAGGGCAGGTTTGCAGCCACCCCTAGACAACCCAGAAAGCCCCAGGCAGTGACAACAGCACCTGTGGCCAGAAGGATGAGTGGAGCATTGGGGTAACGATTGGCAGACAGCAGCATGTAATCCGCAAGGGAAATCTGAGCCCACACACCCAGGGTGAAGATGGCCAAGCCAGCTGCCCAGAAGAGACAGCTGAAAGCCAGGAGTCCCAGGCGCAGGAGATGCATGACTCCCACTGCACGGCAGCAAGGTTGGGCAGCGTCCACAGGTGGAGGTGCAGGGGGTGCCAGGGAGGCTTCTGAGCACATGGACAAGGACAAACGCTGCTGCTGCTGGCGATGGAGTTGCTCCTCCTGCTCTTGGTATGGAGACAGCAGGTAGCCAGGGATAGCAGAAGGTCGACGAGGAAGAGGAGGAGGATTGAGCAAGTCGAGACCCCGTGGAGAAGACAGTCGTCGCACAGATAGCTGTTCACGTTCCCAGTCCAAAGCTCGTCTGTTGGGACTCGCCCGAGCAGACAGGGAGTCGTAAGGCAGTGCAGAGCTCATGATCCTGTCTCCAGCTTTATCTATTCCCCTCTCTCTCTTCTACACACTCCCCCTCTCTCTTCTTTCCTCTATCAGTGTTCTTCCCTCTTGTCCTCCTGCAACACACAATCCCCGCCACCGACACAAGCAACACTGAGTGAGACTATAAATCTTGGTTATGGGTGTTGCGTTGTACCATTATCTGCATCCGCAGCCCCCTTTTTCCACCCTATTTATCTGTTTATTTCGGGCGTTCTTTCCACCTGCATGGCTACCAATACTCCAAATTCCTCCACTGTTAGCCGCATCCTGACATCTTCTCGCTCACTGCTACTCTAGCACTGTGGTTAAGGTGAGAAGTGTTTGCAGCGGGATGGACTGAGAATCCACCCATGCACACCCTCTCTCGGCGTGGAGGAGAGATCCATTTGGCTTGGTGCAATAAAGGAGCTGAGAAAAAATTCCCAATGTCCCCACAGTGGTTGCAGAATTTCAGCCTTCCCAATTTTGCGATGTACTGACAAAAAGGAGACAGGAGGATACTTGTATATTATATATTTATAATTACATAAGGGAAAGCCAACTCTAAAGTAAAAAAAAAAAACTGCCTAAATGATTATATATTATCAACTTGACACAGAACACTGCAATCAGCTTCATCAGAGCTGTGTGGCTCTGAGTCTTTATATTTAACTGACAAGAGTTTTCCCAAAACTCTCATCAGATTTGGATTCTAATGCTGCTGAATCTGCATAGATGCGATATCACGATTTTACAACTAAATGCGCCCCATTAATATGAAAAGTACAGACAAAATAAAAAAAAAAAAAACTGAAATCTGTTATGTGCAATAATCAAAACTGTTCCAAATTTGGCTAAAAATCCTTTAGCATGTTATCAGTCATAGTAAGAGGCTGTTTGACAAAACAGCAAAAGGGAGTTTCTCAATTTCTAATTATGGTTTACTACTAACTAGAAACCCAGGAGCATTTATTAATCAATTGCCAACATTTATAACTATTACCAAATTCAAAGTGTATTATTATTATTGGCTTATAACTGATTTACTGACATTAATAAAGGTATTGTTTAGAAGTTATAAACTCTTTGTAAATGGTTCCTTATTACAAAATGGTACCACATTAATAGTTTTTGTTTGTTGTGTGCCAGTGATGTTTACATTGTATATGTTACATTTAATATCACGGTGGTATTAGTCAATTAACATGTAAAACATGTAAAGTGAACTCATTATTCAAGTAATGGAGTTGAATTTAAATCTATTTACCGTTTTGTTATACATTATACTAACCCAGCTACTGTACTATAGATTGTCTCATTTAACAATGTACCTTTTCACAAATTTTTAAACTACCTTTAGAAACATATGCCATGCTAAAAACAGACCAACCAACCATTAAAATTCACTGTAACCACACTTTATTGGTCTCCTGTTAAACGATGCAGCCAATTTTATCCCAGTGATTCCTGCTTGGCATCTGCTTCCCTCCCATCAACACACTGCCTAATCTGGGCTACTGTAATTAAAGCCTCTCAGTTAATTAAACACATTCAAATGGCTCTTTTAATAAGGATAGCCATAACAGTGACATGATGGCTGAGAGGGGACTAGCCAGACGGAATTACACCCTACATCCTGATTTTTTGAGCTGAAAAAAATATCTATATTTTTCTTTGATAAAAAAATAAATATGGCTGGCCACAATTACTTATATTATGATTTCAAGTGTTTTCCCAGTTACATGGGAAGCACTCTGTTTGCCAGGGAAAACACTGAGCAGGGTGAGGGCAGATGGATTTTACCACAGACAGCTGGATGTCTGTACAGGGAATGAGGTTATGTTTATGATGTTTATAATTAATCTTTGCTCTGTAACCATCAGCTCCCTGAGTCATTCAGTTTTATGTGCACTTGGGACAAAAATGAAGAAAATTCATCACCTGACACATGGTGGATGAGATTTTATAGGCACCTCCAACACAGCCATCCATCCATCCATCCCTGAGCTGTAACTGATTATCTTTTTAGAGCAGACACGAGCCAATCCCTGCTGACACTGGGCAAGAGGCGGGGTACACCCTGGACAGGTCACCAGTCTATCCAGTATAGCTCCTCGAAGAGAAGCCAATAGAAAATAGAAATCTGAGGAAAGCTTTATTCCATTTTTGTGGTTGTAGAATTGCCCTCTTGCAAAAGTCCACACAATTAAAGGAACACTTAGGGAAAATCTTAAAGCAGTGACCCATAAAACAAAGATATGTTTACAACCCTGTGCTTTAAGGTCACAAGATCACTTATGTCTACAGTCTACGTAGGCCTAAGTGGCAGAATGTTTGCTGCCATCTTAGTTTAGCATGTTATTTACTAATCAGCACCAAACACAAAGTACAGGAGAGGTTGATGGAAATGTTAATAATTTTGCATGTATTTGATCATATAATTCTGGTCACATTAAACTTTTTAACTGACAATAGTGATAGATGAAAGTTAGGATAAGGATAATCACCTTTATTGGCCAAGTATGTTACACACAAGGAATTTGCTTCCGGTACAGAACCGATGGCAGCCATCTGCGGCGCCACCTCAACCAATGGCTCTAACCATTGGGTGCAATGGGGGGTTCATTGTCTTGCCCAAGGACACTTCGACACGTGGACTGGAGGCACCGAGATTCAAACCTTTAACTTTCTAGTTGGGAAACGACTGCTCTACCCACCACACTACTGTCGCCTCCCTTAAGGTATCACTTATTACAGTTCATCTGCACCATGTTGTAAAACATTGCCTTTAAGAGTAATGCAATCTAACACCAGTGAAATGCACGCCTCAGCAAAAACATCATTATACACTTCATAAATGTAGCATTTATCACATGGCATTACATTATATTACACAGGTTTCAGTTTTATGGCCTACTCCTTGAAGTTTTGCCCTATAGACCACACTATTATTTGCATTATTGTTACTTGAAGGTCTGCTTCTTAAGACCAGGGAGATGCTCCTGCAACGGTTTGTGCACACCACAGATGCACAATATTACACTGGCAACACAGAAGAAGAAATGGACAGAACAGTATATGGAGTGAATCAGTCTGTTTAATGGACAATTATGTTCATCTATGGTTTTCATTTAAAACAAAGTATTTTAAACTGCTGTTTCCATGTTGTAAAACGAAGAAAAGAGACAGTAAAGCTGTGATATGTCAGATATTTATGTGAAAGTTAGTGTTATATGACTTCAAAAATAATTTCAGAATAATTTCTCCAAAGGTTTACAGCAGAGTTGGTATAGTCAAGACATGGAGCGGTGGGCAAACATTTCTCTCCAGATCTGCAAAAACATTTTCTCCTACTCTGAGTTTGCTCACTTTGAAAACACCCTCAAACAACAATCTTTTTCACTGTTCCCATATTTAACCATTGATATAGTCTCTATCATTTATTTAACTGTTAGATTTCTCCAGTTGTATGGAGTCCACACACTGTGCTGCTTCTCCCTCCTCCCTGTGTGTCTCCATGTGTTCCCTCAGCTTTGCCTTGGAGGCAAATGTTTTCATGCACAGGTCACAGCATGGCTTCAGTGGCTTCAGCCCTGAATGGGTACGTTTGTGTCGTGCCAGCTCTGATGAGCTCTTAAATTTGAGTTCACACACATTGCAGGGGTACGGCCTCTCCCCCGTGTGAATACGCTGGTGCAGCTGAGCCTCACTGAGGGTGAGAAATGACTTCTCACAGTGGCCACAGGGGAACGGCCTCTCTCCCGTGTGAATGAGATTGTGTCTGGTCAGTGCATACGGTTTGGTGAAGCCCTTCCCGCAGTAGGTGCAGGGGAACGGGCGGGCACCAGTGTGGGAGATGATATGTTCTTGCTGGGTTTTCTTACTCTTGAAACGTTTGTCACACTGAAGGCAGGAGTAGGGCCTGTCGTCCACATGTGACCTGTGGTGTTTTGAAAGTTCCCCCTGTGACAAAAAGCCCTTCCCGCATTGAGAACAGAGGAAAGGTTTCTCCCCAGTGTGCATCCTCTCATGTCTGGCCAGCACAGATACTAGTGTGAACCTCTTTGGGCAGTGGGAGCACTGGAAAGGGCGCTCGCCTGTGTGGACACGGAGGTGTTTCATAAGCATAAAGCGGAGTGAGAACCGTTTGTTGCACTGGTTACACTGGTAAGGACGCTCCCCGGTGTGGTTGGACAGATGCCTCTTCACATCGGACCTCCGAGTGTATGTCTTCTCACAGTGTGGACACTTAAACTGATGCTTCACCTGATGCATTTGTCGATGCTGGGACCGTGCGAGCAGGGAGTCGAAGCCTTCGCCACACTGCTGGCAAATATAGCGTTTACTGGTGACGTGGGACTTCCTGTGCTCAAGCAGCTCACAGGAAGTGGGGAAACTCTGGCTGCAGATGGAACAGATCTGAGGGAGCTGACTCTCTTGTGAGTGAGACTTCTTGTGATGGACAGTTAATGCTCGGAGATTGGCGAAGGAGCTCCTACACAGCTGGCAGGAGAAGGAAATAGCCACGCCATGACGTTTACTCTCATGCTTTGCCAGATCCCATGAGTGCTGAAAGGTTCGGTCACACCGGGAGCAATGAAACGGTCTTTCTCCTGTGTGAGTGAGCTGGTGTCTCCTGACGTCTGACGTACGAGTGAACATCTTGCCACACGCTTCACACGTGAGAGCCTTTTGTCTGCTCTGGGACTGAGACACATTTGCTTTACTTTGACTCTCAGGCTGTTCTGCTGTCTCCGTGTTTCCTTTGGGGAAAAGTTTAATTGATGTAAATATTTCATCAGAGCTGGAGGGAGATGGTGTAAACCTGGCTCCTGAGAGAGTCCTGTATACTTCTGTTCGAACACTTTGCATATGGAAGTGAGGAGGGCTGTTTTTATCGGAGTTGTGGAAGGGACACCGTGAACAGGTGAAGATGATCGAGGTCATCTCACCTGAATCACCTGCAAAAAACAAAAAAAACAAAAAAAAAAACAAACTGTGAGCGAAATACTTGGATTTTAATTAAAAATTAATTAATTATAAGGCCGAATTTTTCTCTTCTTAAAGTCAACATACTACCTTTGTCAGTTCCTTTGATTGCTATCACAGATGGGGCAACAGATGCATCCGCTTGGCTCCTGGTGAAATAAAAACATTGTTAAACTTTTTTCATATTTAGAGTCCACATACCACAGTTCTTTTGTTCACAATTTTATATTCTTGTTTTTTGTATTCTTGGGTGATCTTATATTTAGACCATTTAGATTCTGCGCTTTTTTACAGCACACTCAAAGCACTTCCACATTATTCGGCCATTCACACTCCCAAGCACTGACACACCAGTGACATCACCGGGAGCAACTGGGGGTTCAGTGTCTTGCTCAAAGACACTTCGACATGTTGACTGGACATGCCGGGAATTGAACCGCTAATCCTCCTGTTAGAAAACGACCCGCTCTACCTCCTGAGCCACAGCCGCCCCAGTCTGTTTCCAGGCCTTTATGATAGTCTAAGCTAACTGGCTCTTGGCTTCAGCTTTTAAATGTCAAACTATTTTTTCAAGTAAACTGTTTTAATTTAAAAACTGACATATCCTAAGAATTTTCTTAAGAAAACTGATATTAAGACTCAAAACACTGGAAATGGAACTACAAATGATGGAAATATTTACCTTTTTTGTCACAGTTATTATCAAATACAGCAAATTCTTTACCAATAATAAAAATATCTGTGACAAAAAAGAAATAAAAGCATTGTTTGGTACATTATGTGTAATCATTTTAAATTCCTGTCTCAAAAGATACAATAGAAATGTTTTTGTACATTTCTGGTTCATCTATAATGTCCTTTGGCAATTTCTTGAATTTACACGTCTTCATTTGTAGACGAGAAGATCTGCGGATGTTAGCTGATGAGGATGACTGCTGTGTTTCAGAAATTTCACTGGAGACTTCAGTTGTTTCTTCATGGACAGACACGGACTTGCAGTTATCATTCAAGTCTGAACATGAAGTGTCGATACTGCTCTCTGTCCCTCTAGGGGGGATATCATCTTTCATCTCTTCAACAATTTCACTCTTGTCACAAGACTGGTCACTTCTTTCAGATCCTTCAGTTGTTTTCCTTTCATCTGTAGCATTTCCTGACCCAGCCTCCTCATTTAGGGATGAATTATTACTCTTTCCTGTCAGTACATCTTGACACAGGCTCTCCTTCCTTAATGCAAAGGTTTTTGTCAGAGTCTCCAGAGCTTTAGCAACATCTACAGTTTCACTCATTTCTTCTGCTCTCAAACTGGTAGCCTCCTCACTGTTGGTGTTATCTGTGCTAACAGCCACAATCTCTTCTTCATAGAAATCTGTCTGAACTTGAACTTCAGTTGACTCAATCACTTCATCTACTTCAGACGCTCCGACTTCCAGTTCAGTGTAGACAGCCATGACGCTGTACTGGTCCGCTCCAACAAAAGTGACAGGGTTCAGTATGTTGGCATAGTTGTGGATAGATTCCAGTCCAACAGAGATGTTTGTCTTCTGCGAGGGGGGAATGGATAAAGCGGACATGATGCAGCTGCCAATAGTGGATGAAGGGCCACCTATAAAAAAAACAAGATAACAAGGAATCACTGATCAAAAACCTTTAAGGCACTTTCTGGAAACATCCTAAGGCACTCATATATAGGGCTGTAACAAACACCCTACATGTATATCAAGATTTTTATTATTATTACAGATTTGTTTTATGACTAATCAACTGACTGTTTAGTCTATAAAAAATAGAAAATAGAAAAAAACTGTGATTAAAAATTTCTAAAGCCTGTCACATCTTCAGATTGTGTGTTTTGTCAGACCAAAAGACTAAACCTCAAAGATATTTAACATTCAGTGATACAGAGAGCTAGATATTATTATACTCCAAATTTGTTTTGATTCTTGAAGACTCAACTACATCAGCTAGTATTAACTGTCATAAAATTGTCAACAACAAAAAAGAAAAATAATAAACTAAGTACATAAAACTATAAATACAGTATGTAACTAAGACAGTAACCACAGCCTAGACACAGCATTTTATATAAATCTACACATATTCACTGAGGAAAGGCACAGATGCAAGGAAAATCTGTTTTTTCACCCAGTCCAGTTGATATAACCAAGAGATCAATTCAAAATCAGTAAATCATCATAGTTTGAATGCTGCAACTAATGAATGCTGTTTTAAGTTTTTTGCATAACTGATGTTTTGTGATTTTCAAAATGGATGTTGTTAATCGACTAATCAGCTTCAGCTACACTTACATGGCATTTTCAGTAGTCCTGAACTTTTGTAGTGCTCCAAGACTGAGCTCAGTTCTTCAGGTGTGGACTGAACACATTCCTCCAACACAGAGGGAGTAAAGGTGAGCCAAGCTGCAGTCTGTAATCACAAAATGGCAGCTTAAGTATAGAGTTAAAATGACCTGAAACATCTGGATGAGCTGATCAAATACCTGTTTAAGGTCTGGTACTGGAAACAGCTTTTCCAGTTTTGAGAGCAGCTCCCATAATAACACCTGTAGAGCTGCATCATAGTGTGGCCCATATTCCACTGGGAACACCTCCTATAAAAGATAATTAAATTTGTGTTTATTTTAGCACTAATTTGGAGTATTGTCAAGCTAAGGAGTAAATCACTACAATCCGTCTGACCTGGAAGAAGTATGCCCTCTCAACTGGATCTTTCAGCAGGCTTTGAACAAGCGCAGTGAAAGTGGACTCTGCTGTTTTGACCTCTGCATCCCTGTACTGCCACAGATCAGATTCATGTCAGAAAAAGTGGATCTATAAGATATTTGGTTTCAAACAGGTGCTTTTTTTTAAATGTACTTACATCTGTGTTCGTAGATATTAGTGGGAGTCTATCTAAATAGCTCTGAATCACTTGAGAATCAACAGAACCTCGTGCTGAACCTTTGCATAGCTCAAGAATAAACTGAAAAATGAAGTTATTTAATTAATAACAGAAAGAATGTGCAGGTTTGTATGTAACACAAACTGCAGGTTATGCTCACCCTTGCTCTTAGACCCAGGATGAGCTGGGCTCTCTGTCTGTGGCTAACCAGTCCAGGAACAGCCTCTGTTACCATGAACACAAACTCCTGAACTCGCTCATAATTCATCACATCTTTCTGCTTCACAAGCTGCCACATAGCAGCAGACAGAAGCTGCAAGGGGGGAACCAGGAGGCGAAGAGATGAAAGAGGCAGGCCTGGGTCTGAAAAATAAATGTGTAATATGAGCGATGGTCTCTGGAGGGAAGCAATGAGCTTATAATTCAATATGCAGTGTTAGACAAACTCAGCAACATTACTTTAATTTAAACAAATTAAAATTTTTGAAGAGGACGTTTTAGTGAAAATAACAATGAGGATAATAGTTTGTTAAATCAAGGTAATGGCACAGTTACTGCTAAGTCTATATTTTATGTCCCATGTTTACACTACCAGCTACAAATCAATGAAGCTGTATAATTGTTGGAAAAAACTATTTAATGCTTTAATGTGAGTTTCAAACTTGCAATCTGCTTAGGTATTTGTAGCCATGCTTTAACATTACATCTCAGAGCTGAAGTGTAACGTTAATACTTGATGATAGTATTTAAAATAAGACTATAACAAGATCACTTCTATTGCAAAAGCACCACTCTGACAGCTTATAAAGATAGTGATTGCTTTAAATAGACGGGCCCCGCTAACTGTCTAGCCACCACAAACATACCTTGCTTTAAATTACAGCAGAAGCAGACTGTTAATATACGTACCACTTATTTTCTCTAATGACCCAAGAACATCCATTGATGCAATACGTTCTCTGTAGCAATGAAAAACTAATTTAAAATGATGTTGTTTGTTTTGGGGACTAACATGCGCTGTTAGCACGCAAGCACCCGTTTCCTCAAGTCTTCTCCTGCGTTTCCTCTTTTCAAAATAAAACTCTCACCGCATTGTTTAATGCAGTTGCATAGTGAATATAGTTTCACTTGTAGCCACTGTCTCGATATCACTCTATTGTTCACAGGCGTTGATATTTCATTAATTTGCAATAAAGTTGTGGAGCTTGATTTTTATGATTTTACCGGATGTTGTTGTTTTCCACAGAAAGGAAGACAACTTCGAAATCCCGTTTGCATCTCGCGGAAACAGTGACATCATGAGACAGTAACACCATCAAGAGTCACATGATACTTTTCACAATAAATATATCAACAATTTTTTGCCTTTTTTGGAGTGGAAATTATTTATGTTACAACTAAATCTGCACGGTAATTTTCAGGAAATCGTAAAAATTCAACATGGACGAGGACGGGCTGCCAATTGTGGGGTCTGGAGTTGATCTTACCAAGGTTGGTATTTACTGTAGCTAGCTAACATGAATTAATGTTAACGTTACCTAGCTAATCGATGAAGTGAGAAGAAACGGTGCAGCAGTCAGTTTAGTAAATACGATATTAAATACAGATAACCGGTGCCATTTATAATTTAGACCAGACGGCATCTTCTTTATCTTCATCAGCCATCGTGTGAACAACCTTTCTCTTTAATTTGGAGTTTTTCTTAGTTCTGTCCGTTACTCACTGTAAACACTTGTACATGATGAAAATAATTTACTATGCCTTTGCTGCTGAAACCTTTTTAGCGTTTCCTTATAAAAAATCCTGTGTTGTGATCCTCGAACTTGCCTGGACTTGCAGCTGATAACATTTTGCCAAAATTATAATCTTAATATCAGATAGCGTGTGAGTTAAATCACAGATATTGATAGTTGTGACTGCAGAAACGGTACTTTATCTGTAGTGCATTAACACTTTAAATGTCAGTATTTGGTCAGCCTGTCTTTGTGTGTGTTTCCTCCAGGTTCCTGCTATACAACAGAGAAGAATTGTTGCCTATCTCAATCAGTTTGTTGTACATACAGTTCGATTCCTTAACCGTTTTTCCACAGTTTGTGAGGAGGTTTGTACATCCTCTTGTACTTTTCATTTACTTTCTTGCTTCTGCTCCCTTGTTTAGGTTGCACAAATGATCTCTGTCACATGTGGTTACCACCCTGAACTGTCAAACTTATTTCCCACAGAAACTTGCAAACATATCTCTTCGCATACAGCAGATTGAAACCACCCTGTGCATTTTGGAAGCTAAGGTGAGTTCTGTCTGAGTTCATGCCACAGCATCTACATTTCATGCCCATTTACTCATCATTTATGGAAATTTTGTTGTGATCTGTGCAGCTTTCCTCCATTCCTGGACTGGAGGATGTCACAATAGATGGACTCCGTCAGCAACAAACTGTGCAGGCTAATGGACCCACTGCTGCCAGTAAAAGCCAAACAGGTGGTCCACCAGCAGGGACTCTGCCACCACAGGAGGTAAATACAGACTTGCACACACCAAACTTATAGTGTTGTTCAGGCACGCCTTACTACAGAACAGCTAAAAGATGACTTTTGACCACTTGTCAGAAAGCCATAACACCCAAGATGACTTTTGACCACTTGTCAGAAAGCCATAAACACCATGTGCGTGTGGACCTTGAGCCAGGAAGTGATTAGCTTTGCTCAACATAAAGACTGAAAATAAGGGGAAACAGCTGGCCTTCGCTGACCAAAACTCAAAAATCTGTCTTCTACTAATTGAAACTCACTAATTAACATTAGTATCTGATTTGTTTAATCCTTCTCAACTTGGTAGTTGCTTAGTGAGCTAAGTGAGCTTTAGAAGTGCTGGAATGTGTTTTTGAGCATTGTCTTTATGCTAACCAAAGCTAATAAGCTGCTGCCTGTAGCTTCATATTTAGTATACAAACATGAGAATAGCAAGGACAAACATAAGGATTATAGAACAGTAGAAACAGAATTACAGTAACAACAGTAGAGCTAGTTCACTGATCATCAGTATTATACATCATCATTATAAATCATAAACCGTGAAAGTATAAAGTCTACAAGATACAGTCTGTAATATTTTTTTAGTATATCACTAGCGTGGTGTAGAACATAATTATCTATGTAGTAATACTGCTTGCAAACCAATGATGGTAAGATGATGTCATGGGGTAGGACTAGATAAGTCTAATCTCTTCCTACTCTGTTCAAGCATGTACTAGGTATAAGCAAATTGATAATGTATTTGTGGATATGTGTGAAATTATGTGTGTTGACATATTGACTGTCGTTACATGTTTGAAAGGATAAAATCAAATCAAAAATACCACATCTGTTATCTTCTATCTAAATGACTTGTTATTTCACACTGCCTCATTAATTTGCATATTTTGTGGTGCCAACCCATCAGAATGAACCAGAAGCTGCACCAACACAAAAAGCAGAATCAGCTGCAGAGAATGTTATGACAGTAGCCAAGGACCCACGTTACACCCGTTACCTCAAAATGGTTCAAGTGGTGAGTTGCTAACAGCTGTTTATGTACTATAGGAATCAAATAAAATCTGCCTCTTGTCCTTTATGTTAGTACATGTTTTTTGTCTCAGGGGGTCCCAGTTATGGCCATTAGGAATAAAATGGTCATGGAGGGTTTGGACCCTAACTTGCTTGAGTGAGTATATTTCATAACTGGTAATGATCATATATAAATTGCTCTGCATATGATAAAATTTATACTCCAAGGTTTTATTATACTGACCTATAATAATCCCCTCACTGCTGATGACAGCACACCAGATGCCCCCGTGCCTGATGGAGGAGTGAGGAGCACAGAGGATCAAGAAGTTGCTGCCACCAGCTCTGACAGTGAATCATCTTTCAGTGACTGACATTTCTCCACTGTGCTCATCACCACAGAGCTTCTTGTAAAGGCCGTCGTCAGAGAAGTAGGCTACCAGTGTGAAGGTGCAAATGTAGATGCCTGAAACAGGAAAATCAACCTAGAGTGATTGTAATTTCAGTCTGAATGAGTTGAAATTGTGCTCCTGTTGGTCAGTCAGACCTATTCAATTTTATATATCATTAACATTTTGAATGAATGAGTATTATTTTCAAAAACAGGGAATCATTTCTTTGTTGATTGTATGAGCAGTAGTCCCCAGAACATGGCAGCAGCAACTAGTTTTTCTACAAAATGCTATTTATGTGGTAGTGACACTTCTGTCACAGTCTAATGCCTTTAAGAAATACACTCACCAGTTGATAGTTCAGTCTCTTTTAGATATAGTATACAATAGAAATAAAAAGTTAAAATTGTATGTCGAACAGTTACAATGCTTCAATCTGTGTGTTAAGGCCAGGGAGGAAAAATATCACAATCACCCTGCTCCACCGTCACCATACCTGTTTATTAAGTCAAATTGCCTTTCTGATGTGAATTACATTGCAGTGTGAAGTAACAGGAAGCCACCTCACTATTTTCAGCTGACATTCTGGATGCTTGAAACACCTCTTTACTGACATTTGAAAAGAGCACCAGTGTGCAGAAGCAGTCTTTTTTTTTTTATGTTCTCAGACCAAAAATATTCAGCGAGAAGTAAAGCCATTTATCTCATTACAGAATATTGTGAACAAGTTGCAGGGTTTGAATATTATTCATTCCCAGTATGTTGTCATATTCACTACTGCATAGAAAATTAGAATTATATGTCACCATGGAAAGAAGATGCTAATAATACTAATAAAATATACAATAAAAATAATATATAAATACATGTATTTTAGCTAACATTCGCTCATAAGTGTGTTTGGATTTGTACACTTTTTGCCTGGAATAGCAGTGTGCTGCACACTAACTGAAATGAAGGGTTAACTCACTTGCACTAAGAAGTAAAACGGTCTCCACCTGTCAGCAAAATGTAAATGCAGGTAATTTTTTTTTTGTGTTGACTATGCTGATCATGCCTGGTTTCACTGTTTATCATTACTTTCATCAAATTGTGTCAGCACAGGCACCAAAATGTAAAATAAAGTAGAAAAACTGTTCCAAGAATACTGTGGCACAAAAACCAGAATAGTTCTGTGAGTGGATACTGTTCTTCAGTAAATGTGAAAAAAGTGAGTTTAGAGAAGTCTGGAAAGCACTTTGTTTACAAGAGCAAGAATTGTTGTATCTGCGATTTTGCTTGTAATAAACACACAGTTTGCTTAAAAAAGTAAATGTTATTTTTCATCTCAGCAGTGCATTATCTGTACAGTACAAAGTGATACATGCAAAAATACAAAACGACTGAGAAAGGTTTCCCTTGCAAAGACACTGTAGTGGAAAAGGTGGTCTGTATTCATGTGACTTCCATTCTGTCACTTGAAAATTACAGCATAGGATTTCTTCATGTGAGAATACTGTATATTAACTGAGTCTTTGGAGGGGGTTTAAACAGGAGTCCTCCAGAAATACTGGCTGCTAATTTACTGCATATCAGCTAATACTCACATATAAGTATTATGTCTGTGATAATACCAAGAGTCAACACTTAAACACAGAAATCTGACCACTTTCTCAGCGTGTGAGATGTCACATCTCATCTTTCATTGTGAGAAGAATGTGTTGAAGGTAATGAACATCTTAAGAAGCCTGAGGGTTTATTTTCCCTTCTGTCAAATCAAGCCCAGTTTGCTAGGTATTAACTCTAAAATCATATTTGACTTTAAATCTAATCAGCTAGCAATCAAATTAGGTTGTTGTACTACTCAGTAGCCTGATTCCTTTTCCGTGAGCTGTCTGCAGGATGTAAAATCACATCCATAGCTGCAGAATTGCAACAGTATCAGCTGATACCACTAAGCACAGGAGGAGCGTACTGTAAGTATCAGAGTGAAATTTCTGAGTCAGCACATGCATAACACAAGGTTTTTTCTCCCACCACAGTACCCAAAAAAATAAGTCAGAATCCCATTTGAAGTAATATTTCAAACAGATATCTGCTCTGCAAACATGGACACATACCGTGTGATCTCATGTAGAGTCTCACTGTTTTCTCAGAAAACATCAGCAGTAGCCTGATAACTACACATCATAGGACATCATTACTTTGTGCAGTGATCATGTGTCCACTCGTGTCCAACTTCTCTTTTTAGATGTCACAGGTTTGACTGGAAATGCCACTCTGGGGAGGGTCTATAGTTCAAAGTGCAAAGTGATAGTTGACTGAACGGCAATAGGCAGGCTAAAAACTGATTTATGATTGTATAAAACTATAAAGGTACAAGGCCAATTTTTCTCTATGATGTCACACCGCTTGTAAAATTTATAAGCAGTCAGGTAATATCATCATGTAAAAACCTTGCATATCAAAATATATGAGGACAAGAGCCTCACAAAAGAGTCTTTTAAACCTAAAAATACTGATACTCATGCAAAACTTTGCTGGGAGTTGGAGATCAGCACTACTCCTCATACTCTGTTCTCACTCGTAAGGTAAACAGCTGTAGGAAAAAGCAGAGAGAAAAGTAAGGCTTTCAGTAAAAGAAAAAAAAGAACGATCATTTGGTTTAATGGTGTTATACTCACCTTGAAATCATTGATATATGTGAGGAAAAAGAGGACAAAGCTGAAGGCAACAATCCACTCAGATGCAGCACTGGCTACATAGAAGCGATAGTCCTGCAAGAGGCACACAGAGGCCGCATTCAACACACCGGTGTAACTGACAACTACAGTTATTACCAGTTAATAGAACAAATATTTTCTAGATTAATTGATTGTTTGGTTTATAAACATTTGAAAATTATGAAAAATGTTCATTACAATTTTTAGCAGCCCAAGTTGACATCTTTAAATTGCTTGTTTTGTCCAAATTGTAGTCTAAAACATAGGAATATTCAGTTTACCATCACATAGGACAGTTTCCAACAGGTTTTCCTGATGGACATCAGATAATCTCACGTTCTTTCACAGACCCCAGCCATGGTTATATCATTATAGTACTTTTCATACAACTGAACTGTCAATGTTTGTCAAGATTTCTTTCTTACTACTGGTAAAACCTACAGTGATGGACCATTATTCAGTTTAACCATTACTTTATGTCAGGTATTGCAACATTACTTTTAGCTGTTTCAGCCATTTGCGAATACTTTCAGCTAACTATTTTTGGGTTTTCTGCAAATTTGCTAATTACTTTTCATAGGCTGGCAGGTAGCTTACTAGCATATTTACAATCCTATTTGGCTATTTGTTTGTTTATTTCACTCCTTAACACAAATATGAGGAAGTATTTTTTCCTAATTAGTTGAGCTTCTCTATATCTCATTGGGAATTATTCACATGTGACAAAGAAAAGAAGCACATTTTTACAGTTAAGAAACTGGGAAATGTTGGTATGTTTACATAATAAAGTGACAAATGATAAATGATTAAAGAGCTGCTGATCATTTTTCTGTTAAATGGTGAATCAGCCAATGAACTAATTGTTTCAGCTCCAAACAGATGCACACAACATATTGACCCACTGCAGCTTACTGTACCTTGTCTTCTCTGTCTCTGTGCATTTTGGTTTCTTTCACAAAAAAAGCACAGATCACAGCTGAATTACCCATTAAGGAAAATGGAATTTAACACTAGTTAGCACTTGCATTTACATAAAATTACACTAATGATAATTAACAGGTGAATAAATAATCATAAAGCTAAGTTCCTGGTTAAAATGCAAATCATGCAGGTTAACAAAGTAGGAAGAACATCAGGAAACCAAAACACAGACTTTTTAAAATCAAATTGTGTGAAAGGATACTGGGGATAACTGCCAAAGCAGCAATGATGGTGATACACAAACGTGCTCGGCACACACTTAAAGAGGAGCCAAATGGGTAGGCACGATATGATATCACAGACTGGAGGATTATATATAAAACACCACAGAGAAAGAACGCCAGAGCTCCCAAATCGTGAACAGCTTTGACTACTGTTTCCTGCAATCAAAAAGTAAAAAATATACCATTAAACATGACATTAAATCATATTCCTGAGATGAACATGTGCACTATACAGGCAGACCTGGAAAGTTGCAACAATACACATGGCGAAACAGGAGATCATCCCTAACCCCAGGGCAGCTTTATTGAGACGTGGGCTCACCACACTTGTATCCTCACTCAGCTTCTCCACAAACTTGTATCTGGAATATATGGTGGCCATTCCTGTGCAGACATCAAAATGTGCATTTACAACAATGTCCCCCCCCCCATTAAAAATTCATTTTCCATACCAAACAATACATTCAACTTTCATTTCCTAAAAAGGGAAATGGGCTTTGGGAGGCTTGGCTTAAAATACCCAGAGTTGCCTAAAAGAGTCAGTGGAGAGGTGACAGTGGAGATTTTCTTATTGACAGGGAAAATACCTGCACATGCAGAAATAAATGTCATCAGGCCAAAAATGCAGCTCTCTGGGGGGTTTGCACTTGTGTCACTGAAAAGAGAAAGAGATGTTACACACAAGCGTTGATAATAATCGATACTTCCGGCCATTTGGGGACTATAGTGTTGATATTCGGTAAAATGTCAAACTTTTCTTATAATAATCGTCTTCTTTGAAGCAGAGAAGTGAAAAGAGGAGGACCAAAGCTTCGGGAGTCTTCTAAAATTACAGATGTGTACGTGCAGCTGGAGTTTGGGTAGGAGCCAAGTTAACGCAGAGGAAAACGAAACTAAGTTTGTATTTTTGCATAATTTTTTCTGCTTTCAGAAATCACTTCATGGAAAGGAAATATCGGCATGCATGCTTTTAGATGTTAAGCTTGTTAAATATAGAACAATAACAGATTTATCTGATTTTTTGAACCGTGAACGAAACTTACCTTATGTATGGGAAGATTACATCGACGTCGTTCTTTAAAACTGCAATCAGGTAGGAGATAATGAAAGTGCTCGAGGACCAGATGACCAAAAACACTGGTAGGAAGCACAGTCCTTGCATGAGCCAAAACATCTCAAGGAGATTTAACGCGCGACTTCCAGAAAACGCAGTCAGGCTTACAGTATGAAGGGAGCGACAACTGGTCCAGGATCAGGGCTTGGTGCTGCTATCGCTCGGGATTCCGATGAAGTAGATGATGTTACCGACAGCCACTTGCAGGTGGTTGAAAAGACTGAACATGGCCTTAACTGATATACAATATACAGTAACCTCTTCCCCAAAATGACTCCCCGTGGGCCGTCCTACGCGTTATCATCACCCAGTTCTCTTCCTTCCTCCCTTTAACTTTCTGCCTCTTTGTTTCACTCCTACATAAAATACACTAGGCCTGTTTCTGCTGAATTTTTTTGGACCTCAGTTCCAGTAACAGCAGAGGAAGTATGTCAAGCAGCAAGACCACAGAATAAAAGCACCAGTCCTGCAGTCAAAACATTGATTATCAGGAAAATCTGAAAAAGTACCCAACTATGAAAATCTTAGATAGATAGATAGATAGATAGATAGATAGATAGATAGATAGATAGATAGATAGATAGATAGATACTCAGTGGTAGGGTTGGAAAAAGTACTCAGTTTTTCTAGTTAAGTTAAAGGCTGTAAAAATACTCTGTTACAGGTACAAGCCCTGAGAATGATATAGGCTAGTTTATATTATATTGTTGAATTATAATTAATGGAACATTAATAGGACGACTGACAGCAAACATAGGACCAATCATGTACTGGTGACTTAATTCATAAGAATACATCATAATTTATTATTTTGCACTAGTAATCTGAATCTGCAAAGTAGCAAATAACTACATTTGTCAAATTTCCCTCTCAGATATAGTGGAGTACTATAGTACTCAAGTACAAGTTGTAGTACTTTCACTCAAAAAGTACATTTACTACACTGTACTTAATTACATTCCACCAGTGTAGAGTGGCCACTCTCTGGGTCCAATTATAATAGTATTGAATTATTAGTATTTATTTTCAGAGGCATGTATTTTCATGTCAGCTCTGGGTTATTAAGCTGTAACAGTGCATTCAGTTTATAAGCTGATCTGTACAGTACGTGTGAAATAAATAGTAAAAATTACATTTCCCTTTGAGTAGAAGTAAAAAGTGGCATAAATTAGTAATACTACAGTAAAATACAAGCACCACAGTGGTAGTTACATTAAAATACTTATTTGTAGTTTTTCCTCATTATGTTGATACAGTATTTTTACATGGATTTATAGAGTCGCTACCTACATTCATTTTGAAAATTACTGGGATTGCTAAGCATAGTTTTGTACTTTATTCTACTGTATCAGTGGAATTTTGCTGGATTTGGTGGCCGGGGAGACAATGGCACAGAGCCAAGGAGGATGAACCTGGAACATCTGAAGTCTTTCAGTCCACAGAAACATTTCTTTCATTTCAGGAGAAACTGAGGACAATTGGGCCAAGTGGAGCCAGTTCAGCGCTTCAGTTGTTGATGTGATTATTTGAAGTTCGCCAATGCCTGACTTGGCGACAAGTTTAAGAAAATGTTGGTTGAAAAGGGCTTTTCTCATGCTTGGTTCACCCACAGGCCTCCTATTTACAGAGAAAGTGACTCCCAGAAAACCGAATAAAATGGAGCCTCCCTCAAACCATAGAGAAGGACTTTGGTTCGTCTGAAAGAAGTTCTGGAAAATAGTCCGTTTCCAGAGTAGAGAGGTTTTAACAGGAGTGAAAAAAATTGTACTGAAACAACTGGACTCCAGTAAAGCACACTTTCAGATATGTGAAACATTTATTGTATTTGTGGAAAACACACACACAAAGGGCAATTCCAGATCGCATAACATCAAGTTGTAAGTTCTAAAATGTGCATAACATGACTGTTAAATTAAGGGGAACTAGAAGGATTCATTCACAGATGTGTGATCCATCTGATATTAGTGGTGGAAAGTAATTACAATCAATCAATCATTTACACATTAATGTGAAATTTGCCATTCTGCATAATGAATGCTTTTACTTTTGGTAGCCTACTTACATTTTGATGCTAATACTTTTGCACTTTTACTTAAGTAACATCAGGACTTTTACTTGTAACAGGGTATTATTACACTGAGGTGTCGCTGCTTTTAGTTTAGCAAAGAATCTGAGTACTTCTTCCATCACTGTCAACAGGCAACTGTTGCTAACAAGCACTAAAACGCGAGCAGACCTTGAAGGCACCACGGAACCAGCTCCCAACCAGCAGGGGGCGTCAACGAGCCACAGGACGACCTCCGCCGAGGAAGCTCAAAACAGTATGGTTGGCTGTCATGTGTCATACAGGCTGCCTAGCGGTCAGCTGACCTGTCATGCTCGTTTGTAATGTTTACTTTCTTTGTTTAGTGCGTTTTTCTGCTTTGTTTGAATGAATGTGGCGCTAGGCTTCGCCAAGGAGAACAATGGTAGTCGTCAATTCGGTGCTCAAGCTGGTACAGAGGCAGACGTACACTTGTCTGTCCCACCGATATGGACTCTACCTCTGCTTTGGGGGGATCGTCCTCATGATAGTTTCCGCCTTTCAGTTTGGAGAGGTAAACTTAATCTGTTTTCTTAACTCCGGGCACTAATGGTAACCGATTATGCTAGATTAGCTAGTCATTAGCTGTAACAGTGGATGAAGCTCATTCAGTTGTATACAGGAACCGTCTCGCCAGATTCTAAGCAAAAATGTGGCTGTTTAAAGTGATCTACCCGTCAGTTAAACTAACATTTATTGTAGGTCCTTAATTGAAACGTTTCATGAATTTTTATGGTGCTCATGCAAATTCGGCCTGACAGTAAAACACAATATCATTTAATTTCAAGTAAAATGTCAAATATTTTAGCAGTGAATTTACGGCTTGCTGCCTTACAGCCCTCCACGTTGTTTAATCATTTTTATTAAAGATTTGTGCGCTTGTGCATTAATTTATTTATTATAAAATTTACGCCCCGTCTATTAGAATTTTTTGTCAAAAAGCAGTTCCTAAAAACCCCCTAAAATGGTTCAGAAAAGTATATTATGTAAGATAATAACTGCACAAAAGCGCCATGTTTTTGAATGTAGTTTGGTGTGGCTCTGTCCTTGGCTGTACTGTAGGTGGTATTTAGGATGTAACAACATGTGAACTACATGTGCCAGTGGCTTGACTAATGAAGTGTCTTCTCCTTTCCATACAGGTGGTGGTGGAGTGGAGTCGGGACCAGTATCACGTGCTGTTTGACTCCTATAGAGACAATGTGGGTGGAAAATCTTTCCAACGCAGGTGAGAAAAATGTAGCATTTATAACTCTAAGGGAGTTTAATTGGAACACCTACAAAAAAATAAATGTAAACTTCATTATTGTGTCACTCCCTCATTGATACAAATGAGAGTCACAAGTGCAAAATCAGTTTGGGCAGGGTTTAGAAGAAAAAGCATTATTAAAATGAAAAGTGTGCAAACCCTTACATCATTCTCTGCAAAATCATTCCTTGCCACTCAAATGTGCATGTACTCTTCACCTGAGTGACATGAAGTCTGAAAGAAATGGATGAGGTATAGCTATGCATGAATAAAAACTAATTCAGACTTAAGAGGAAAGTGTGCGCCAGGGAGGAAAACAGGGTCCCTGTTTTGAACAGAGTTTTTCACTTCACAGGCTCTGTTTGCCCATGCCTATTGATGTGGTGTACACATGGGTGAATGGCACAGACACGGCTCTGCTGAAGGAACTGAAGGCGGTCAAAGAGCAACTGCAGGAAGAACAACAAGCTCTGAGGTACAGCAGCTGTGGCTCCACTCTCTGTGCTAATGTAGCGGCTCTGTAAAGGTGACAGTTAGGTAGAATTAGTGTAACTACATACAATTAAATATAACCTTTATTTTGCTGTAGAAAGTGTCCTCCTGTAATACGAGGCCAGAGAATGTTGAGGCACTCAAGTGATTTCAGTTTCACAGCTGAATAGAGTCTGAATTAGGACACAAGCTTATGGAGCATTATCATTTTCACTCTGGCTGGCTTGTTCAGACATTACCACAAAGGAAGAGGGGAATCACAGCTCAAAGGTTAGAATATCTTTGAGGAGAAAGTTCTTATCTTTCAGTAGTCTCTGGACTTCTCTTCTTCTTCCAGCTGTTAGCATGAAAGATGTACTGTATTATAATGATGCATTTGTTCTACATATTGGAAGCCAATATGCAGAGCAATAACAATGCAGTGCTGGACAGTGTTGTCACTCTATGATGAATAAGCATGAATTTCCTGGTTTGTTGCACATAGGGAACGCCTGGGGAAAAATGCAAGTGAGGCTACTGAAGCGCCAAAAGACAGGTGAGTCTGAGGTCAAATGGGTTCCTCATTAGGGTTGGGTTCCAATAGCCAGTTTTATTTTGGATCCAGTTCCAAGTTGGTGAAATAGTCCAGCTCAGTAAGCTTCATAACAAAACAAATCCCTTACCAAACCTGTTGTTCATGTTTTTTGCCGTCAATGAAAATACAGACGTAACCAAAGGAAAAAACTGGTTATAACTAAGCGAGAACGTTTTATGTGTTGTGCTAGGGTTTGTAGTCTAATATGTGTTGCGTAACTAAAGTTAAAAAAAACAAACTAAACAAAAAAATACTGTCGTGACCAAATGTGGTAAACTGTGTGTTGCGTAACTAAAGTTAAAAAAAAACAAACTAAACAAAAAAATGCTGTCGTGACCAAATGTGGCAAACCGTCTTAACCACTCTGAAGTCAAAGAAACAACTGCAAAAAGTGATATGTGCAGGTCGGTGCTCACAGAGAAAGGGGGAACAACTCGTCCTTGTGTTTAAATAGTCTTCTAGTGTCCCTTATGTTAAAGTAAGAACTTTGATTATATTTCATAACATGAGAAGGACGAGTGCTCAGCCTCACACAGTCTACAGTCAGATCTGTAGCAGTGCAACAACCAGTCCACCTTTAGTTAAAGCTAAGTTCATAGTTCAGCAAACTATCAGTGATTTATTAAAATAACGTTCACGGAATGTTAAAGTAGATTTATTAATTTCACAGTTTTTCAAAGTAACAAGCTCACTCTTGCGAGCTTCTGCAGCTGCACTGTGTTCAAAGTGTTTCAGAGAGGTGTCGTCATCATTTTGGAGGCTGTCATTTGTGCTGCTGTTGAATAGAATTGCATTATACTCACAGGTGTTTCTCTTACTTTGTCCACCAAGTTTATGCTGCTGAGGCTACTAAATAACACCAGTCAGTATAACCTAATGCAGTTGAAGTTATGCAAATTTACTCTGCATCATTGCCCACAAAGTCACAATACAGCAAGAGATATGGAAACCAAAGCTACCGCTGCCTGTAAGATACCGTAAAATGTACATCATCTCATTGTGTAGGCACTTTCTGGCTACTTTCGTACTCTCACTAATGTAATTCAGTTCAGCACCATTATTTTTTAGAGGTCCTTTTTAGACTCGTACGCCTTCAAAAACTGAGAGAAATGACAATTATGAAATGAACCAGCATTGTGTGAACACTGGACTTCATGTTGACACAGGAAGTTGGGGTGGGTTAAACCACAAGCAAGTGTAATTCTAAGTGTGAACTGGTCAGGTATCAGTTGGGGAGACTTTTGTTTGATGCAGACAAGAGAGAGCCTGCACTGGTAATAACTGTAGTTCATAATTTTTATGAACAAGTTTGTGTGCAGCATGTTTTCAGAAAGTAAAAGCAATGTGATATGGAGGTGCAGTGTACAGTCATGGCCAAAAATATTGGTACCTCTGCATTTCTGTTACATAATGCACCACTTCTCCCAGAAAATTGTTGCCATCACAAATTCTTTGATTTTCTCATGATTATTTCTTTTGTTTGCATTAGAAAAACACAAAAAGCAAAGAAAAAAGCCAAATCTGTTACAGTCCACACAGAACTCCAAAAATGAACTGGACAGAATTATTGACACCTTTTCAAAATCATCAGAAATAGTTGTATGTCAACCATGTGATGGTCCTGTAATTTGTAATGAAACTCACCTGTAGCAACCAACACGTGCTGGCAATATAGAAATCACACTTGGAACCGGTAATAATGGATTAACTTTGACTCAACCTTTGTGTCGTGTGGACCACACTGAGCATGGAGAAAAGAAAGAAGAGCAAAGAACTGTCTGAGGATTTGAGAACCACAATAGTGGAACGAAGGATTGTTTGAATGGCGGATAAAGAACCAGTGTTTTTGACCATGACTATATATACAATACATGTAATTTTGAAGGTATTTTCTGCCATTTCATGTGAAAGAAGCGTATGTTGTGACCTGAAAGAAATAGTAAAAGTGGTAGCAAATGTCATTTTACATTCTGCTCTGACTTAAATGATCAACTCTGGTGACACTGCAAATGTTAAAGCTCACACAGCTCGTTGAACCACAGTGAAGTGTTGACTTCAGGGTTGGTGTTTCCTGTGTGTTCACCACCAAATGTTGGGTTGATAAAAGCACTCCTGCCTTTGTCTTCCCCCTCCTTCTTCGTGTGAAAATTTAAAATGCATCTGCGAGTTTTAACCACAGACACTAAGATGGGTCATTGCAATGTTTCTCCAAAGGAAGCTCTTTAATATGTACACTTAATTAATTTCATGCATATGTTTAAATGCAAAACAATAGCGTACAAAGTGCCCATATATTAATTGAAGTATTGTTTTTTCCTTTCCTATTTATTTGTTTTCAGTGTTAAACCAGAATGCCTGCTGTCCCACTGCATCATAGCACCCATGGTGGCCCTGGATCCGGCACTGCCAGCCCAAAAGACCTGCCGTCCCTCTTCCCCTCCCTCTCGGCAGCCAAAGAGCTGCTACAGATGAACAAACCCTTCCACTCGTCCACCAGCGTCACTGTGGTTGTCTTCCATTTGCAGGCTGACGGTAAAAACACAGACATGAATTCAGAAACAGACCATTTTAATAAATAAAGGAGTGAACTGTGCCACGAATGGGTGCTTTCCAAATGACTCCAGGCAGCGTTTGAATGAGACTCTGCTGGGAGAATAGTAAGAACCTGGCAGGCACATTATCACTGGCAAGTTATGTACAATGCAAAAAATATGATTTGAAGTATGATTGAGTAACCAGAAAATGATGGTGTTGTAGCAGCAGTGGGAGAATATGCATTACTGGTAACAGCGGAAAGTGTGAGCTATGGTTTGATCATGTGACTAGTACGGTAATAATAAACTAAATCTGTGGCCAGCTGACCTTTTTAGCCAATTTAAAGCACCACAGACTAGCATCTTTTTAGTCCCACTTGTGCCCTGTTATCTATTTTCAACTTTATTTATTTACTTTCTAAACAGATAAAGGCTGACATGGCATTGTAAGCTTTAGTTCAGATTTTGAATAGATATAAATCTAGAAGAGATAAAAGAGCAAGAATAGCAGAAGGAAACCAAAATGCAAACAAATGATTTTGTCACCAAAAACAGAAGTAAAAGGGCATAGTTCTTCCTGATTGCTGGCTGGGCTCTGGCCCCCCCCAGTGACCCCGTTCAGGGACTAAGTGGTAGAAAATGAATGGAGAAAAAAAAGGTCATAGTTAGATGGCAGATATTTAAAAATCTGTATTTGTATATATGCTGATGTTCAAATGTTTGGGGTCGTTTTCATATTTCCAGTTTTTATTTTGACATTTAACTGGTTCATATCTAGTGAATAACCCTAAATGGTGCAGAGCTGACAAGTAAACTGTCAGAGTAAAACAAACAAACAAACAAGTCATCAAAAACTATTAATGTACAGTCAAGGAAAAAATTATGTGAACCCCAGCTGATTTTGTAAGTTTGCCCACTAACAAAGAAATGATCAGTCTACAATGTCAATGGTAGGTTTATGTGAACAGTGAGAGACACAACAATAACAAAAAAATCCAGAAAAATGCATTACAAAAAAAGTTATAAAGTAATTTGCATTTTCATGAATGAAATAAGTATTTGATCCCTTTGCAAAACGTGCTTTAGTACTTGGTGGCAAAACCTTTGTTGGCAATCACAGAGGTCAGACGTTTCTTGTAGTTGGCCACAAGGTTTGCACACATCTCAGGGGGGATTTTGACCCACTCCTCTTTGCAGATCCTCTCCAAGTCATTAATGTTTCGGGGCTGATGTTTGGCAACTCGAACCTTCAGCTCCCTCCACAGATTTTCTATGAGATTAAGGTCTGGAGACTGACTAGGCCACTCCATGACCTTAATGTGCTTCTTCTTGAGGCAATCCTTTGTTGCCTTGGCTGTGTGTTTTGGATCATTGTCATGCTGGAATACCCAACCACGACCCATTTTCAATGCCCTGACTGAGGGAAGGAGGCTCTCACCCAAGATTTGATGGTACATGGCCCCATCCATCCTCCCTTTGATGCGGTGCAATTGTCCTGTCCCCTTGGCAGAAAAAAAACCCCAAGGCATAATGTTTTCACATCCATATTTGACGATGGCGACGGTGTTTTTGGAGTCATAGGCAGCATTCCTCCTCCTCCAAAC